TGATATCATACTATACTACACAGCCCTAGTAATCAAATATCATGGTACTGGCACTAAAACAGACCTATAGATCAGTGGAACAGAATAGAGAGCCCAGAAATAAACCCACACCTTTATGGTCAATTAATTTGACAAAGGAGGCAAGAACATACAGTGGGGTAAACACAGCCTATTTAATAAATGATGTTAGAAAAATTGGACAGGTATGTGCAAAAAAAAGGACCTAGACCACCTTCTTACACCATACACAAGAATAGACTCAAAATGGATTAAAGATTTAAATGTTAGACTTTAGCCATAAAAATCCTAGAAGACTTTGATGTAGACCCACGTGTTTATTTTTTCTTTTGTTTCTCTTGCCTTAGGTGTTGTATCAGTGAAAATTCTACTGCGTATGATGTCTGAAATTTTGTTGCCTACATTTTCTTCTAGGATTTTTATGGAGTCATGAGTCACATTTAAGTCTTATTCATTTTGAGTTTATTCTTGTGTATGGTGTAAGTTGGTGGTCTATCTTTATTTTTTTTTTGCAAGTAGCTGTCCAATTTTCCCAACACCATTTATTGAGGAGGCTGTCTTGATTCCACTGTATGCTCTTGCCACCTTTATCAAATATTAATTGAGCTATCTGCCTGTTCTTGTGCCAGCACCACACTGTTTTGATTACAGTCGCTTTGTAGTATAACCTGATATCTGGTATTATGATTCCTCCTACTTTGTTCTTCTTTTTCAAGATTACTGTAGCTATTTGGGTTTTGTTGGGTTTTTTTGTTTGGTTGGTTTTTTTGTTTGTTTTATATAAACTTTTGGAGTGTTTGTTCTAGTTCTGTGAAGTATGTCGTTGGTATTTTGATGGGGATTGCATTGAATCTAGTATGGACATTTTAATGATGTTAATTCTTCCAATTCATGAACATGGTATATGCTTCCACTTTTTTATATCTTCCTCTATTTCTTTTTTTAATGACCTGTAGTTTTCTTTGAAGAGGTACTTTACTTCTTTAGTTAAGTTTATTCCTAGGTATCTTAATTTTTTTGCTGCCATGGTAAATGGCATTGTTTTTTTAGTTTCTCTTTCTGTGAATTCATTGTTGGTGTATAAGAATGCCATCTATTTCTTGACGTTAATTTTGTATCCTGCTACTTTGCCAAATTCATTTATTTAGTCTAGTAGATTTTTGATGGAGTCTTTAGGGTTTTCTATGTACAATATCATGTCATCTGCAAATAATGACAGTTTCACTCCCTCCTTTCCAATTTGGATCTTTTTTATTTTTTCTTCATGCCTAATTGCTGTGGCTAACACTTTCAGTACTATATTAAATAAGGGTGGTGAAAAATGAACACATGGGACTACATCAAACTAAAAAGCTTCTGTATAGCAAAAGAAACAACCATCAAAATGGAAAGGTTATCCCACTATATGGGAGACCATAATTGCCAATGATACATCAGACAAGGGGTTAATTTCCAAAATATATAGAGTACTCATACAACTCAACAAAAGGAAGACAAAGAACTCAATTAAAAAATGGGCAGAGGAGCTAAATAGACACCTCTCCATACAGGACATACAAATGGCCAAGAGGCATATGAAGAAATGCTCAACATCACTAATCATCAGAGAGATGCAAATTAAAACAACAATGAGGTATCACCTCACACCTGTCAGAATGGCCACCATCAACAAATCATCAAACAGGTGATAGCAAGGGTGTAGAGAAAGGGGACTCTAGTACACTGCTGGTAGGAATGCAGACTGGTGCAACCACTATGGAAAACACTATGGTATTACCTCAAAAAATTAAGAATTGAACTGCCATTTGACCCAGTGAAATGGCACTTCTAGTAATATACCCTAGGAAGCCTGAAACACCAATCTGAAAGAGTGTATGTACCCCTATGTTCATAGCAGCACTATTTACAATCGCTTTGATCTGGAAACAGCCCAAGTGTCCATCAGTAGATGAGTGGATAAAAAAGAAGTGGTACATATACACAATGGAATATTATGCAGCTGTAAGAAAGAAAGATCTCTTATCCTTTGAGATGACATGAAGGGACCTGGAGAGTATTATGCTAAGCAAAACAAACCAGGCAGAGAAGGACAAATATCACATGATCTCACTCATTTATAGAATATAATGAACTAAACAAACTGATGAACAAAATAGACCCAGAGACATAGAAGCGGGGTACAGACTGACAAACCTCAGAGGAGGGGATGGTGGGGGGGGGATATAAACCACAGAACTTATATGCATGTATGCATAACCAATGGACATGAACAACAAAGCTGGGGACAGGGAAGGGGGAATGGGGCGGAGGGTGTCAACAGGGGGGAAAGGAGAAACATATATAGCAAAAATCAATAAAAAATAAATTTAAAAATTCCTAGAAGAAAACATAGGCAGTAAAATGTCAGATATTTCTCATAGCAATATTTTTTTAAAGCTCCTCAGGTAAGGGAAACAAAAGAAAAAAAATGAACAAATGGGACTACCTCAAACTAAAAACGTTTTGCACAGCAAAGGAAACAATCTGCAAAATAAAAAGACAAACCACTGAATGAGAGAACATATTCACCAATGATATATTTGATGAGATGTTAATATCCAAAATTTATAAAGAACTTATAAAACTCGACATCAAAAAATCCAATAAAGAATGGGCAAAGGACATTGAATAGACACTTTTCCATAGAAGACATACAGATTGCCAATAGACATATGAAAAGATGCTCAACATCACTAACCATCAGAGAAATGCAAATTAAAACCACAGTGAGCTATCACCTCACACCTGTCAGAATGGCTACCATCAATTAGTCAACAAACAAGTGTTGGTGAGGATGTAGAGAAAAAGGCACCTTCATGCACTGTTAGTGGGAATGCAGATTGGTTCAGCCACTGTGGCAAACAGTGTGGAGTTACCTCAAAAAATTAGAAATGGAACTGCCTTTTGACCCTGCAGTTCCACTTCTGGGAATATATCCAAAGAAACCTGAGACACTAATTTGAAAGAATATATGCACTACCCCCCACCCCCATGTTCATTGTTGTAGCGCTGTTTACAATAGCCAACATTTTGAAGCAGGCCAAGTGCTCATCAGTAGATGAGTGGATTAAAAAGCTGTGGTATAGTACACAATGGAATACTACTCAACTGTAAAAAGAAGGAAGGAAATCTTACCTTTTATGACAGCATGGATGAACCTGGAGAGTTTTATGCTCAGTGAAATAAGCCAGTCAGAGAAAGACAAATACCATATGATTTCACTTATACGTGGAATCTAATGAACAAAATAAACTCACAAACAAAATAGAAACAGACTCATAGATACAGAGAACAAGCTGACAGATCAGAGATGTTTGAGAGGCTGGGTGAAAAAGATGAAGGGATTTGGGGAAAATAGAAACATACATACATCATAGACTCTGACAGCTATATGGTAATTACCGGAGGGAGAGGGACTTGGGGGCAGAGCATAAAAGGAACATTAATGGTGATGGAAGGAGACTTGACTTTGAGTGGTGAACACATAGTACAGTATATAGATGATGCATTATGGAATTGTACACTTGAAACCTACGTAATTTTATTAAGCAACGTCACCCTATTAAAATCAATAAAAATTTATAAATAAATAAATAGAAAAACCTATAAGACATAGGTCCTCCCTTCAGGGAGCTCACTATCTTTCTAGTTGGTGGAGGAAGTAAATGTGCATGACCAGTTGTAAAACAATAAAATCGGTATCTTGTGTGTGAAGGAGTAATGAGGCTGAGATAATAGAAAACAGAAATCTTCACCCTGGCTGGTTTGGCTCAGCAGTTAGAGTGTTGGCCCGCAGACCAAAGAGTCACGTGTTCGATTCCCGGGCCTGGTCGGGCACATACCTCAGTTGCAGTTCATTCCCGGCCCTGGTCGGGTTTGTGTGGGGGGCAACCAGTCAATGTGTCCCTCTCACATCGATGTTTCTCTCTCTCTCCCCGTCTCTCTCCCTCCCTCCCACTCTATCTGAAGACAAATAGAAAAATATCTTCAGGTGAGAATTTAAAAAAATTAAAAAATAAAATAAAACAGAAATCTCTCGCCGCTGTGGTATTGGTATTGTCAAACAAAATGCTGGACTGTAGTCTGATCTCATATTATAATACTTAGATTAGTTTTTAGTCTATTTTTTAAACGGGAGTAACACACATACAATGTACAGATCTTTTATGTATAGCTTGATGAGTATTTACATGTAACTACCATTCAGATCAAAATTAGCACATTTTCGGCATCCTAGAAGGTTCCCTTATACCCTTTCCCAGTCATTACACCCTCAGAGGTAACCACTGTTCTCATAACTGTCACCATATAAAGATTTTGTCTCTTTTGAGTTTTGTTTAAATGGAATCAAGCTTAGGTTTTTATCTGAGCTAAAAAGAGGGATAAGAAGATAATAAATTTCTAAATAATACAAAAGTTTTACTAATGAATATATGTTTGCTTATATCTCCAAATCAGATCATCTTACTAAAGGTATTCAAGCAAGCATTTTGGTAATAATGTGATAATTAAGGTTATTGCCACATTCCTAATTAATTAGAAAGCACAGATTTCCTTACAGTGGTCTCAGGATGTTACTTTTGGTCAGCACAGCCAACTTGAGATGGAAATTGTAACAGTTAGGAAAGAGGATTTGGTGACATCTTCTCCCTGGTAAACCAGTCAGAAGAGCTTTGCCTCTTGGGGATAGAGGCTGCCTGGGACTGGGTGATTTTGGGGGAAATAAGTCCTAAAGAGATGAACCTCTTGCTACAGATTGACTCCGCCTTCCCTCATCAAACTCGTGTTGGGGATTCACTCTCTTACTTCAGTCCTGGAAGTGTGGTGGGGCAGACGAGGCAGGTGGGAGGGACAGAGTAGACACGGATTTCCTCCACGCCTGCAACCTAGGGAAACAGCCGGTTAGAATATTTCACAGCATCCTTATGTTTTCCCTTGTTCAGGTTATTGCTTTGGGACTGTGACGATCGAAGCTACAGCTACTACATTGAGGTTTCCACCAACCAGCAACAGTGGACCATGGTGGCCGACAGAACTAAAGTCTCCTGCAAGTAAGTGACATCATTTGAGGAATTTGTTCCAATTTAAAAAACAGTCCTTCGCCCTGGCCGGTTTTGCCCAGCGGTTAGAGCGTTGGCCTGCAGACTAGAGAGTCCTGGGTTCAGTTCTCGCTGAGGGCACGTATGTTGGTTGCAGTTTGACCCCAGGTTGTGTGGCTGGCAGCCACTTGATGTGTCCCTCTCACATCAATGTTTCTCTTTCTCTCTCTCTCTCTCTCTCTCTCTCTCTCTCTCTCTCTCTCTCCCCCCCTCTCCCCCTCTCCCTCCCGCCCTCTCGCCCTCCCACTGTATCTGATAATAAGTGCAAAAATGTCCTCAGGTGAGGATCAAAAGAATAAATAAATAAATAAATAAATAAATAAATAAATAAATAAATAAACAAACAAACAAACAAACAAGCAAGCAAACAGTAAGGATGGATGGATGGATGGATGGATGGATGGATGGATGGATGGATGGATAGATAGATAGATAGATAGATAGATAGATAGATAGATGATAGATAGATAGATAGATAGATAGATAGATAGATAGATGAAAGAGAGAAAGAAAAGAAAAAAGAAAGAGAGAAAGAGGGGAAGAGGGGAAGAGGGGAAGAGGGGAAGGGAAGGGAAGGGAAGGGAAGGGAAGGGAAGGGAAGGGAAGGGAAGGGAAGGGAAGGGAAGGGAAGGGAAGGGAAGGGAAGGGAAGGGAGAGACAGTCTTTCTAATGGATCAGAACGTTCCATTGAAGATTCATAGAATCACCAAATTTTATCTTATTTGGAAATTTGGAATTTGAAAATAGTCTGATGATCTGTCACTTCAGTTTTAAATGAGAATTTACTTTATATGACCAAACAAGCTCTCCTTATTTTGTAATTTGAACTTGATTTTTGAAAATAGCATGTGCCTAAGCAGGGAAAAGAAATATATTTTCCATATGCAATTCTGTCTTGAGTCTTCCCCCTACATCCCACACCACCATTTTAGGACTCTTTTCTTCCAGAAAGAATTATGCTGATGCAATACACACCTCAGTGGTTATTCTGGGGTCCTGTCCTGTTCCCCACCCTCATACCATTCTCAGGATTAGCTGTAAATATGTATCCTATCTCCATGATGGCTACACTGTTACCCAAACTAAGCAAAGTTTGTACCTTAGGTTCTTTATGGGCGAGCAAGGGCATTTCATGCATAGGGCATTGGGGCTCTCTGAGCTTACCTGGTGTGGGGGAAGCCAGGAGGAAGGACTCTGCTAGTTCTGACCAGCCTAGACTCAAGCCAAAATGAACATGTACATGTGCATATACCCATGTAACTGGATTGAAATGAGCATCTAGAAGGTTCCCTCATACCCTTTCCCAATCATTACCTGAGAAGAGCTCAGTGGTTTTCTCTGTACAGCCAGATTCTCTGAGAGGCAAGATAAAGCAAATAGCTGAGATTTTTAAAAATTGAGATAATGAATCACATACCATAAAACTCACCTTTTTAAATCATATAATTCGGTTGTTTTTAGTATATTTGCCATGCAACCATCACTACTATCTAATGTTCTAGATCATTTTCTTTTTTTTTTCTTTTAATCCTCACTGAGGACATTTTTCCATTTTTTGTTCAGATAGAGTGGGAGGGAGAGAGAAACATCGATGTGAAAGGGACACATCGAGTGGCTGCCTCCCGCACGACCCAACCAGGGCCTGGGACAAACTGCAACCGAGGTACATGCCCTTAGTGGGAACTGAACCCGAGTCTCTCTGGACCGCAGGCCGATGCTCTAACCTCTGAGCCAAACTGGCCAGGGCTGTTCTAGATCATTTTCATCATCCACAAAAGAAGCCTACCTATTAGCAGTATCCCCATTTTCCTCCAGCTTCCTCAGCCCCAGCACCCAATAATCTACTTTCTGTTTCTATGGATTTGCATGTTTTGGATATTTCATATAAATAGAATCATGTAGTAAGTGATCTTTTGTTCCTGGCTTCTTTCACTTTTAAGTATGTTTTCTAGGTTCATTTATGTTATGACATGTGTCAGCACCTCATCTCTTTTAATGACTAAATAAAATTGTATCATATGGAGATATATAAATATATCATATTTTGTTTACCCATTCATCAGTTGATGAACATTTGAATTGTTTTGCTTTTGGGCTATTATATATGTAGTACTGCTTTGAACATTCCAGTACAAGTTTTTGTGTCAACATATGTTTTCAGTTCTCTTGGGTATATAACTAGAAGTGTAGTAGAATTGCTGGGTGATACGGAAACTGTTTAAGTTTGTGAGGAAGTGCCGAACTTTTCCACAGCAGCTGCACCATTTTGCATTCCCACCAGCAATGTATGAGGATTCCGGTTTCTCTACATTCTTGCTAGTACTTGTTATTGTCTATCTTTTTGTTCATAGCCATCCTAGTGGGAATGAAGTGGCATCTAATTATATAAGGTTTTGATTTGTATTTTCTTGATGGCTAATAATATTGAACATCTTTTCATGTACATATTTAGCAAAGACTTTGTAATAGCATTAATGATGGCTTATTTGATGCAGTGTCTGACACCATCACCATTATTATATTATTATCACATAGTATGTTTATGTGATAAACATGGTTAGGGTAACACTTGCTACTGTAACAAATAGTAGCTTCAACGTTCAGTGGCTTTACACAGTTTATTTTTCAGTCATGTAACAGTCGATATGGATGTTCTTGGTTATCAAGTGGCCCTTCTCCACAGGCCGTGGAGGAACCCAGGTGTCTTCCTTCCTGTGGTTCTGCCATTACCTAGGGCCCTATCAGTATCATCTGCATCTAGCTGGCAGATGGGGAAGGAACAAAGAGAAGTATACCTGGTTGCGAACAGCCTAGGCCTGGGTGTAGTGAACATCCCTTCCACTTGATTACCCCAGAGAGAACTAGTCAGTTGCCACAGTCATGCTAGTAGGGCTGGGAAATATGGTCACTTCCTGGCTGGGCAGCGACTTCTCAGATGACTACTTCTTGTAGTCATCTCTGCCGTAGTATAAGAAAACTAACAATTATTTAATAACTAGTATTCCAGTACTTTACATAGTTTATCTCATTTTGCCCCGAATATAGAACACCTTGTGGGATATTGTTCTCATTGTATAAGGAGAGAATGAAAGGCTTTTTCTACTGTACTGCATCACCTCCCAGCATTAACAAAGAAGGCTAAACCAAGATAGATGATGATAACAATCAATGAAGTGATTAACTTGTTTCCAAGCTCCCAAAACCCTTCTTATGCAAGAGAGAGGTCTTCAAGACACATGAACAGCTGTCCATTTGTCTTTCCAGAGTCATTGTTTATTGGGTGTTCAGCCTGCAGGCCAGATCCTCTGCTTCCTCAAAGGTTGTCATCTTTGACACATCTCACTGGTTACCATCACCTGTTCTTCTGTCATTGTATGTGTTACAAATAGGATTCCTCACCTCTTTTCTATCCCCCTGTTGAAAGTGTACACAATATTGGAGTTTTTTTTTTAACAAGAATTCACTGACTAACTACTGATTGGGTACATAGCATAATTTTATATTTATTTAATCATTTTTTTCTATGATTCAAAAACCCATTCACTCATTACACCTTTTCTCAGTAGCTTTGCATTAAGTTATCAATATCTTTTTCTCCTCATTTTTATTTTTTTTCATTAGTTTGGTGGATTTAAATAATTTATATATTTTTAACTTTGTGTGTTAGCAATTAGATGCTACAGCGGTGTTTTACAAATTAATAAATACATAATATATCAGAAAAACAAGAGTCGTAGCAAGAAGGCAAGTGCCTATTAACCCTCTAGGGATCATTGGAAACAAAGGTTGTGATTTTATGTTACAGGCATAACTGCAATCTACTGTGCCCTCCATTTTTGTTAGGTCTCAAGAAATATAATAGAAGATATGCAGATGATAAAAGAAGAAAGCCTTGCCCTGGCCAGTTTGGCTCAGCGGTTAGAGCATCCGCCTGCGGTCCAGAGAGACCCGGGTTCGGTTCCCGCTAAGGGCACGTACCTCGGTTACAGTTTGTCCCCGGCCCTGGTTGGTCGTGTGGGTGGCAGCCACTCGATGTGTCCCTTTCACATCGATGTTTCTCTCTCTCTCTCTCTTCCTCTCTCTCCCTCCCACTCTATCTGAACAAAAAATGGAAAAATGTCCTCGGGTGAGGATAAAAAAAAAAAAAAAAAAAAGAAAGCCTTTCCTTTTTAACTAGTATACTCCAGAGCAGTCCTCAAAGAAGACTCTATTAGTAGCCTGCTTTTTATTGACATAAAGAATGTGTGTCATGTTATAAATGAAATTCTATAGGATCTTTACAGATTACAGCTCTGCCTAGTCAAGAAATAATCAGAGGGCAGATTTTTACTGTCCTCTGAAAAATACCTAGGGAGTGAGATTCTCCAGTGTTTCCTATAAATCCCTCTGCTCCTGGGAGTTCGGGTGTGTGTGTGTTCCTTCAGTGGTATATTAAATTCTTTGCTTTCAGGATAAAGGCTTATTTTCTGTCATGGAGAGCCCTGTTTTTGTATTGAGTGATTTGTTTTTTTTTTCCCAGCTTTATTGAGATATAATTAATATAAAACATTGTGTAAGTTTAGGATGTACAACATGATTTAATACATGTTTGTATTATAAAATGATTACCACAGTAAGTTTAGTTAACATATTTATCACCTCACATAGCTACAATTTTTTTCCTGTGATGAGAACTTTGAAGATCTACTCTCTTGGCACTTTCAGATTCTATTCATTATTATTAACTGTAGTCATTGTGTTATTCATTACACCCCCAGAACTTACTTCACTTGTAACTGGAAGTTTGTGCCTTTTGACCACCTTCACCCTTTTTCCCCATCCCTACCCCACCGCATCTGGCAACCACCAGTCTGTTCTCTTTCTTTGAGTTCATTTTTGTTTGTTTTTTCAGATTGCACATATAAGTGAGATCATTCAGTATTTGTCTTTTCTCTCTCTGACTTATTTCACTT